TATTCTTTAAACATACTTATTCAACCCGTATGCTGAGCAAATAATCTGAGAAGCTGGGTTCTATGAAGAAAAACATGGCATCAGGATTGGAGGAAGAGTCATTAACAACCTGTGATATGTAGATGATACAACCTTGCTTGCTGAAAGTGAAGAGGATTTAAAACATTTACTGATGAAGATCAAAGAGCACAGCCTTTGGTGTGGATTACATCTCAATGTCAAGAAAACAAAAATCCTCGACACTGGAAGATTCTTATCAATGGAGAAAAGATTGAAAGTCGTCAAGGACTTCATTCTTCTTGGATCAACTATCAACACTTGCGGAAGCAGCAGTCAAGAAATCAAACGATGTATTGCATTAGGCAAATCTGCTGAGCAAGACCTTTTTAACAGTGTTGAAGAGCAAAGACGTCAGCTTGAGGACTAAGGTGCACCTGACCCAAGCAATGGTATTTTCAGTAACCTCATATGGATGTGAAATCTGGACAGTGAATAAGGAAGACCATAGAAGAATTGATGCTTTTGAGTTACGATGTTGGAGGAGACTATTGAAAGTGCCATGGGCTGCCAAAAGAACCAAGAGATCCATTTTGGAAAAGTGTAGCTAGAGTGCTCCTTAGAGGCCAAGATGGCCAAAGTTCGTCTCTTATACTTTGGACATATTGTCAGGATGGAACAGTTGCTGGATATCATGTTTGGTAAGAGAAAATGAGGAAGACCCCCAACAAGATGGATTGGCCAGGTGACAACATCGATTGAATCAAGTGTGGCAACAGCAATGAGGTTGACCCAGGATCGGGCAGTGTTTTGTTCTGCTGTGCATAGAGTTACTATGAGTCAGTACTGACTCAATGGCACCTAACAACAACAACAATGTGTATATATATATATACACACACACATATGCAACATAACATTTGCCATTTTAACGTTTTCACATGCACAACTTAGTGACACTGGTGATATTCATCACTGGTTCAGTGGCCTGCTCCATCACCGCTTTCTGGATAATGATTCCCCGTTTCTCCCTCCCTCCCCTGGCAACCACTAATAAACTTCGGTCTCTAAACATTTGTCTATTCGAGATATTTCTCATGATTGGGATCATATAATGTTTGTCCTTTTCTGAATGACTTGCTTTGCAGATCCTAACATAATGCTACCATAACGTTTTCAGGGTTCATCTATGGCTGCATAACATTGTATGTATGTATATGCCAAGTTGTGTGTATTCAGTCATCTTTGGATAGATACTTCTGAGGTTCCCACCTTTTGGCCATTGTGAATAATGTTTCAGTGAACATTGTTTGCATCATTACCTCCAGCTCTCTTGGGTATATATGCCTAGGAATAGAAATACTGGGCCACATAGTAGTTTTAAGGAGTCCTGGTGGGTGGTATTGGGCTGCTAACCACAAGGTTGGTGGTTCAAACCTACCAGATGGTTCACTCCTCAAGAGAAAGATGAAGTTATCAGCTCCCATAAAGATTTACAGTCTCTACATGGTGCCACCTTGAGTTACAATTGATTTTATGACTGTGAGTTTGGTTTTCTTGATTTATAGTACTTCTAACACCTTCTGAGATCTGGTAACGTAGTGGTTACGAATCGGGCTGCGAACCTTAAGGTCAGCGGTTCGAAACTACCAGCCGCTCCGCGGGAGAAAGATGAGGCTTTCTACTCCCGTAAAGATTTACACCCTCGGAAACCCTGTACAGGGTCGCTATGGGTCGGACCCGACTCGATGGCACTTAACAACAACAACAACAACAACACCTTCTGAAGGGAGACCAAACTTTTCCATAGTGTCTATAGACTGTGATCTGATTGATTGCAAGTCTTCATTTTTCATATAAGTACAGTATTCAGCACCCATAAGAGGTTCAACAAGTGTTTGTTAAATTAATGAAATAATATTACTAAAACTAAGGGGTTATTTTTTTCATGTCAGGCATGGTTCTAGTGACTTGTATCATAAATTAACTCATTTAATGCTCATGGCAAACCCATGAGAAGGTACTATGGCATCCCCATTTTGCAGATGGCCACACTAAAGTGGAGAAGTTATAATCCTTGCCCAAGATTACAGGGTTGGTAAAAGGCAGCTCCAGGGTTCAAACCCAAATACTAACTTCTGCTACTGAAGCATCAACCTTAGTCCTCCTCACTTCCCTTGTTCTCTTTGCTCATCTCTGTGGAAGTTCAGTACCAGAAGGGGCTGCTTTGGATCAAAATCACTTCTGTGAAGCACACTAAGATGAAAGGAGATGCATGAAGATCCCATCGTGCTGACTGATCTCACACAGAGAACCACACAGTGAAGGGCGAATAAAGGTATGTTCATTGTTGGGGAAGATGGACAGAGAAGATATTGGACCACCTCATAGGACAACACTGATTTCCCCACACCATCCTCCCTGGTCCATGGCTGTGAACAAAAGGTATATCAGAGTGGGTGGTCTAGTCTAGAGGGGATACACATTATCTTTGATCATTTTCCCCACGTCCCCTACCTTGGCCACTCTACCGTGAAATCCAGATTTGAGTGTGCAATAACAGTAAAGGCAAACTCATAATTGTGGCTGGCTCCACTCATTAAACACAATGATCTTTCTTTGTCTTTCAAATCACCTGTCACATATACAAACGATCTAGCATCAACATGTACTAGATATCCTACTAAACAATTTCCTTCTTGCTTCTTTTATTCCTTATACAATTTCTGGCTAGTTAACATGTTCGTAGCTGCCTACAGGACAAGCCCTCAATCATGTTAACCTCAGGCACAAAAGAATCCATTATGATCCATGAGGTTTTCATTGACTGATTTTTCAGAAGTAGATTGCCTGATCTTTTTTCCTAGTCTATCTTAGTTTGGAAGCCCCACTGCATTCTGTTCAGCACCATAGCTACACACAGCCTTCACTGACAGAAGGGTGGTGGCTGCACATGAGGCGTGTTGCCAGGAATCGGACCCAAGTCTTCTGCTTGGAAGGTAGCAGCTGTACCATTGAATCACAGTGCCTCAGAGACACAAGTAAATAAAGGCTCATGGATGCTGAACAACCTGTTTAATGTCACACAGCTAGTTAGTTGCAAAGCCAGGCTTCAAAGTACAAAACGGGACACTCCCCAGCCTCTCCATAAAGACAGAATGAATGTGCACATCCGCTGAGCGCAGCAGATTTCCGAAAATAACGTCCATGATGGCAAACCTACAATTCATCTTCATTTTTTCCTGATGTTCTACAGTGTCACTGCCGATTTAGTCCATCATTTTAGAATTACTGGCTAATAGGATGGCTGGGGTTGCCATCCTGCCTGGTGTTCTCATTTTGTACAAGAAACCGACCATTGATAACAGGGATGTGTCTCAACAATTTAATTACAACCTGACTCTTGTCTCTTCCCCTCTCCCTTGTTGGTCTGGATGTTAATTCCTATATCCTTTGTTCTTGCAAACATGATTGGTTTCGGCGGAGAGAACAGACTTACCTGCGTTGGGTAATCTGAGACATAAAAGGGCCAACGGGCTCCTGAGTTTGGGGAGTTCTGGATCTTCTTGATAGCTGGTACTTTGGTCATCTTGGGAAATCCTTCGAGTTAGGGCTGTGCCCCCAGCGGGTAGATTTATCCAGAGTCTTAGAGGTCTTCGGACACTGATATAAGATGCTCCAGCATCAGACCCCAAAGGGTTTTCTGTCCAAAGACTGGGAAAGCAGGTCGCCTGGATCTTCAAGGAGCAAGAAAAGGAAAGCCGGGCAAGGTGCAGTGAAGAAACTTGCCTGAAGTTACTTACTTTGTAGAAAGTTACAAATTTTATGAGGTTCCCCCTTCTTCAGAGGTGAATATCGTTCTCTCTTATAAACAAAAATAAAATATGAACTAAAAAAATAAAACTCCACAGAAAGTTTGAGGGGGGCCCCCATGGAGGGGCCCCCAGATCTCCATCATCCAACAGCTACCCGGAAACCAGGGACTAAGGCAGCCCCAGAGCAGGGTTCAGGGGCCACTGTGGGGAGCAGCCAGTAACTGGGGAACAGCCAGTAACTGGGGAGCAGCCAGTAACTGTAAGGCTGGGGCCAACGGTTGCCTGGCAACGAGACGCTTTGTAGGGCCTCGTCATTGGTTGTGATTTATGAGGGCGGAGTTGCGAACTAACCCGGCAAAGCACACTGCCAAGGAGCTGTGCACATTCTTGTTCTTGAAACTCTTGATTTCTCCTCCCAGGCTGGAGTGTACAAGCGGCTCCTGCGCTCCATATACCTTCCCCTCCTCTCGCTCCTTCTCCAGTGTTTGTGTCTTTCCTTGTAGCCTAACGTCTGTCTTTAGCCCCCAAATTTTCTTAACTCAAGGTGCTTATTTCTCCCCTTTTTCCATATGACAAACTCCAACTCATCCTTCAAAAAGTCCTCTTCCCAAATAAGTCTCTTTCCCTGTGTTGGCATTTATTGCGTGCTTAGAATGTGCTCGGCACTCTTCTAAGTGATTATATATATATA